TGTGTGTGTGTGTGTGTGTGTGTGTGTGTGTGTGTGTGTGACACCTTAAAGAAATCAAGAAGTAAGTAGGTAAGTCAGAATGCTGATTAAAATTAAAATTACAACTGGGGTGAACAAATGCTATGTTCTGTCTAGTTACTGCTGCTTGCTGCTGTCTCGTGCTGTCTCATGTCTCATGGTTGCTACAACGTGAATAAATGTAGAAACAGTTGGGAACAGTGTTCATGGGCTGCTAGGTTTGCCGAACCTGTCCTTAAGGTTGTTGTATGATATTAAATCTTAATTAAGAACCATGACCTTTTGATCACATGCCTTGATATGCTCTGATATGGGACGAACAGAATCAAGATTTTTTTTTTAGGAGCTAGAAAAGCCTTTAGAATCCAGCTCCTCCAATCTTCCCATTTTACAGATGAGGAAACCGCAGCGCAAAGATAGTAACTTTTCTTTTCTTTTTTTCATTTTCAAACATTTGCTCTAATTAGGTCAGGGAAGACTAAAAAAAAATCTTTACTGTGCCTTGTTTCATTTGGTGATTTGTGTTTTGTCTAGAATCCTCTCTCTCTCTCTTTCTTTCTTTTTTAATCTTCCATAACCTTTTATTGTTTGTTTGTTTTTAATTAATTTATTTTGATTTATCAACAATTACTTCCATAAGCTTTTGAGTTTTAAATATTTCTCCCCCTCCCTCCCCTGACAATAACTTTTCAAAGGCCACAGAGCAGCTGGAACTAAAATGGGGTATCTTGGCTCCTCTCTTTTTTTTGTTTTGTTATTACTGTAGACCATTTGCTTTTTGTCAGTAAGCATCAGACACGCCACCCTTTGTAGCCTTTAGGTCTCTCAAATGACAACATATTTGAAGGACGTCTTGTGAACAACAATGGTTTGGGAAGGTCTATCTCTGGCCTCTCTACCTCTGCACCCACCATTTGCCATGCTTGGAATGCTCTCTCCATCTCTACTTCTTAGAACTCCACTGGGGTTCAAGATCACTCTTCCACCTCCATCAACAGTGAATTCCCCCCATTGTTAATATTCCCTCCTCATCATTGTGTATTTATCTTGTATGTAAACTACAATTTTTTTTATCTGTGAACATGTTGTGTCTTCCTGATCTCAAGTTCCTTGAGGGCAGGAATTGTCTTACTTCTGTTTCTGTATCCCCAGTGCCTGACACATAGTAGGTACAGAATAAATGCTTGCTGATTGATTGGTGTTATTTACTTACACCAAAGTGAAAATCAAAAGAAGTTGTTTGACTTTCTCAGATGCTAAAACTTAGCAACTTAACTCAGTCTGTTCCCAACTTAACTGGCAAACAGCCATGACCAAGCCACCGGGTTCCTCTCTAATGTAGGAATGGTGAGCCACTGAGCATATTGATTTGAGAACACCATTAAGTCCAAATGCCCAGCCCAGGATAGCTAGAAATTTAGAGAATAGATAATAGGACTATGTTTCTTAACTGGGCTCACGTCTGAATCTTTGAAAAAAGTTACAATGCATTTTTCTCTCAAGGATTCTTTAAAACTATTTTTTAATAATTTTTTAAAAAAATAGCTCCTTGACTATAGTAATCTATTATTTGATAAACCCAAAGACCACAGCTTCTGGGATAAGAACCCACTCTGAAAAAAACTGCTGGGAGGCAGCTAGGTGGCACAGTGGATAGAGCACCGGCCCTGAATTCAGTAGGACCTGAGTTCAAATCCGGCCTCAGACACATAACACTTAGTAGCTGTGTGATCCTGGGCAAGTCACTTAACCCCAATGACTAGCCAAAAAAAAGAAAAGAAAAAAGAAAAAAGAAAAAAACTGCTGGGAAAACTGGAAAAGAATATGGCAGAAACTAGGCATTGATTAAAATCTCACACCATATACCAAAATAAAGTCAAAATGGGTTCATGATTTAGATATAAAGGCTGATACCATTACCTATCAGATCTATGGAAGTTGTTTGACCTATCAGATCTATGGACAACAGAAGAATTCATGACCAAACAGGAGATAGAGAACATTATGAAAAGCAAAATGGATAACTTTGATTACATTAAATTGAAAAGTTTCTGCACAAACAAAGCCAATGCAACTAAGATTAGAAGGAAGGCAGAAAATTGGGAAAGAATTTTTACAACCAGTCTCTCTGATAAGAGCCTCATTTCTAAAATAAAGAATTAAGTCAAATTTATAATAATACAAGTCATTCCCCAATTGATAAATGGTCAAAGGATATGAACAGGTAGTTCTCAGATGGAGAAATTAAAGCCATCTACAGTCATATGAAAAAATGCTCTGCATCACTACTGATTAAAGAAATGCAAATCAAAACAACTCTGAGGTACCCATATCACACCTATCATATTGGCCAAGATGACAAAACAAGAAAATGATAAATGTTGGAGAAGATGTGGGAAAACTGGAACACTAATGCATTGTTGGTGGAGTTGTAAAATAATCCAACCATTCTGGAGAGCAATTTGGAACTATGCCCAAAGGGCTGTAAAAAATGTGCATACCCTTTGACCCAGCAATAGCACTTCTAGGGCTATATCTCAAAGGGATCATACAAATGGGAAAAGGACCCACATGTACAAAAATATTCATAGCAGCTCTTTTTGTGGTGGCAAAGAATTGGAAATTGAGAGGATGCCCATCAATTGGGGAATGGCTGAGCAAGTTGTGGTATATGAATGTGATAGAATACTATTGTGCTATATAAGAAATGATGAACAGACTGACTTCAGAAAAACCTGGAAAGACTTGTATGGTCTGATGCTGAGTGAAGTGAGCAGAACCAAGAGAACATTGTACACAACAACAGCTGCGTTGTGCAATGACTAATATTGATAAACTTAACCCTTCCCAGCAATACAAGGATCTAAGACATCTCCAAAGGCCTCATGATGGAAAATGCTATCCACATCCAAAGAAAGAATTATGGAATTTGAATGGAGATCGAAGTATACTATTTGCTATTTTTTTTTCTCTTCTCTTGAGTTTTGTTTCCTCTTTCTGGTGGTTCCTCCTATTGGTGCTAATTCTTACAACATCACTAATGTGAAAATATGTTTAATAGGAATGTATATGTATAGCCTATATCAGATTGTGAACTATCTTGGGGAGGGAGGGGCAGAAAAATTTTAAACTCAAAAGCATATGGAAGTGATTGTTGATATATAAATAAATAAATAAATAAATAAATGAATGAATGAATAAATAAATAAATAAATGAATAAATGAATGAATGAATGAATGAATAAATAAATGAATGAATGAATGAATGAATGAATGAATGAATGAATGAAGAGAGCTCCTTGAAAACCATGTTTAGGAGAGAAACATACCAAAATATTTTATTTTGGCTTCTGCATGGCTAGGTGGTGCAGTGGATAAAGTGCCAGGCCTGGAGACAGGAAGACCTGAGTTCAAATGAGGCTTCTGAGTTACTAGCTGTGTGATCCTGGGCAAGTCACTTAACTCTGTTTGCCTCAGTTTCCTCATCTGTAAAATGAGTTGGAGAAGGAAATGGCAAACCAGTCCAGTATCTTTGCCAAGCAAACTCCAAATGGGGTCATGGAGAGTCAGACATAACTGAACAACAACAAAATGGCTGAACAAGGGACAGAGGACCCATACTGGAACCTTAATTCAACTGTATTTTCACTTGGGTTAAACTCATTTAGTCTCATTAATATCAAGCTGGTACATTTTAATATAATGCAAAGTTCTTAAAAAGAAGGTACCAGTTCAGGAAAACTTCACTCTGAGAATGAGAAAGAAGTGGGTTGAGATGGCCTTATTTAAAGCTTCCAAACAAATTAGTCTATTATTATTCTATTTGTTTGGGGGGAAAAATACAATCTAGAAAAACTGGATAAACACATTTCTGAGAACCCATCAACATCTGCAATGGATGGGAAGTCCCAGAGGCTAACTGTGCAGGGTGACTGGACAGGAAGATGGATATTTAGAAATGCCTGAGGAATGTCAATGATCTAGGAAAATATAAACTCTTTTCAGTTAAACTCTGGCAATCTCTCAGCACTGGCAATCTCTCAGCACCATAGGCCTACAAGTCAGTCTTCATTAAGCACCTACTACATACCAAACACTGGGGATAAAACTTAAAAAAGTAAAAGACAGACCCTGCTCTCAAGGAACTCACAGTCTAATGCAGGGGGTGGGGGGATAAATACAAACAATTATGTACAAACAAGATAAATACAGGATAAAGTAAAAGTAGAGATAATCAATGCAGTGAAGGCACTAGAATTAAGGGGCACTGGGAAAGGCTTCTTGTATAAGCCAGGATTTTAGCTGGGATTTGAAAGAAGCCCGGGAAGCCTGGAGGTGGAAATGAGTAGGGAGAGAATGCCAGGCATGAAGGACAGTCAGTAAAAGTGCCAAGATTCAAGAGAAAAGAGTGTTTTGAGAAACAGCAAGGGAGCCAGTGTCATTGGATATAAGAATACATGGTCAGAGGGGAGGCAAGGGGGTAATACAAAGCATAAGAAGCCTGGAAAAATAAGAAGGGTCCAGATCTGAAAGGGCTTTGAACAGCAAACAGGGTATTTTATGTTTGATCCTGGAGGCGACAGTAAGCAACTTAATTTATTGACTAGGGGGATGACAGGATCAAAACCGCACTTTAAGAAGACTAATTTGATAGCTGAATGGAGGATGGACTGGATGGGGAGAAACTTGTGGCAGGGTGACCAACCAGCAGGCTACTGAAATAATCCAAGCATGGAACTACTTCTTGTGGGAGTATCAGAGGCGAGAAGGAATCATATTCCAGAGATATGATAAAGGTGAAATCGACAAGACTGGACATGGGGAGTAAGAGAGAGTGAGTAGTAGAGGAAGACCCCTAGGTTTGAAAACTTGGTGATTAGGAGAATAGTGGTGCCCTCAGGAACAGTAAGAAAGTAAGGAAGAGAGGAATGTTGGGGGCTGGGGAGAAAATAAATTTAGTTTTGGACATGTTGAGTTTAAGATGTCTATAGGGCCTCCAATTCAAGATATACAATAGGTAATTAGAGAAGAGACACTACAGTTCAACAGAGAGGTTACAGCTAGAAAAGCAGATCTTTAAATCAACAGTATAAAGATGATAATTGAATCTGTGGCACCAGATAAGTCAAATGTGGCTTATGATCCATAGTGCCATGGAAGGCTGGTGTTTTCACACAGTCTTGTCCCTGAACTGGGCCAATCAGAAATCTAGGCCTACTATCACCTTGAACTAAGTGAACTCTGACTCTTTAAGATCCTTTAAATCTATGATCCTAAGACTCAAGCAGTATAATAACAATCATAAAACAATTCATATGTTTTTCTTTTTTTTTTATTTGGGGAGGAAGGCTAGAGGGGTAGTGCAGAGTTATCAAACAAAAAAAAGGAAAAGAAAGAAAAGAGGACAATTGAAGCAATTTTTTTTAAATGCACAAAAGATTATAGAAGGAAGTTCAAAAGGAAACAGATAGCAGGACAGCTTTGAAAATAACATTTTGAATTTATTTTATTTTTAAGAAGCAAGCTGTAGTAATAGACATTCACATTCTCACATATAATCCTTTTTACCATTCTACTTTGTACATGGAAATATTATTTTTTGTGTGTTTGTCAAATATTGAAAACAAAATAAGATAATGAGGCAACTAAAAAAAATTCAACTTTGCTTAATAGCCTATTTCCAATACGAATTGAACAAAGAGTAAAAATGAAAGCTTGGGTAAAACTTAATTATCCTAAAATAAGATTTATCAAAGAATCTATGAGTAGGAAGTCACTTTCAAAGACCATTTAATATAACTTGCCTCTGACCTGGAATTCCTTCTAAAACATCTCTAACAAATGTGAATTAAAGCTGGAGTGGAACTTAGGAATCCTGAAGTCTAAGACCTCTCCTTTTTACAGCAGAGGAAAATGAGACTCCAGAAGCTGAAATGAATCACACAAGGTTATTTAGATGGCAATGTCCTGGAAACTTACCACATGGCCAAGTCAAATATACAAATGTGAACCTTTAGACCAATAAAATAAGACTCTGGGTAAGATGGAGATGGCTTCTCCTAAAGGTCCTTCTGCTTAGGTCAGGGCAGCTAAGTGGTGCAGTGGCTGAAGCACTGGCCTTGGAATCAGGAAGACTCATCTTCCTGAGTTCAAATCTGGCCTCAGACACTTATTAGCTGTGTGACCCTGGGCAAGTCACTTAACCCTGTTTGCCTCAGGTCCTCATTTGTAAAATGAGTAGGAGAAGGGAATGGCAAAGCATTCTAGTATCTTTGCCAAGAAAATCCCAAATGGGGTCACGAAGAATCAGACACAATTGAAAACTGACTCAACAACTTAAGTCAGGGGTTCTTAAACTGGGGTCTATGAACTTTAAAAACATTTTTAAATAATTCCATTTCAATAAAATTGGTTTCCCTTGTATTCCTATGGAATTTATTTTATGCACTTAAAAATATCATCTGAGAAGTGATCTATAGGTTTCACCAGACTTCCAAAGGGGTCTATAACCTAAATACTCCTGGAAAAATCAATACTATGCCCTTTAAATGTGGTTACTTAATACTAGTTGCCTGTCCTAACACTTATTAATACTGGTAGAACAAACATTATATTATCTAGTTGTTCTATGGGGGAACTTTTAATCCTAGAATTTCTTCCTTTTGATATCTGGGATGCTTATGTGATATGTCCCATTTCCCCGCTCCCCCTCACCCCTCCAGTTAGCAGAAGTCCAAAGAATAAAAATAAAGACAATGATAAATAATACAAATACTCCAAAAGTTCTAGCTATGGATACTCCTGCTCCTGACATCAATTACACAATTCTCTCTTACTATCTTATACCCCCTTCATTAACCTGACTTTGGCCAAAATAAAACTTTTAATCTGTTGATCGACTTTAACTGCTAATGAACCTCACTAAACTCGGCACTCCATCCCCCATCTGCTTTTGCTCAGGCCATTTCATATGCCGAGAATCAGCTCTCTCCTCAACTCAATGACTTTTAGAATCCTTGAATTCCAAGGTGCAACTCAGATGCCATCTCCCATGCGAAGCCTTTCATGATTCCCTCTAACAGTTAATGCTTTCTTCTTCCTTAAATTATATTTCGTATTTATTTACTTGTCTGTTTCAATGTTGTTGCTTACCCACCCTCCCCCCTCCCCCCAAATGTAAACTCTTTGAAGGCAAGAGCTGGGTTTTTTGTTTTGTTTTGTTTTTTGCTTTATTTGCGTATACACCGGGCCCAGCACAGAGCCACCACTCAATAAAAGCCTGAAGGAAATGAATACATACCAAATCTTTTTCCTCCTTCAAATGGACCTTTTTCATCAGGGAACGGGTAAGGTGGTTACACAGTGAGATGATGCTAAATGAAAGCTAGGGCCGACAGAGAAAACACACACAGAAAAACAAATTGTGAGGAGAAAGTAATTTAGAGCCCGACAGAAATCTCTCAGATGATACCCTTTCCTGCCACCAAAACTCTGGGTGAAGCCCACCGGCCTGCATACCTTCCACCGCCTCCGGACATACTGCTTTTTGAAATTTTCCAAGTTGACAACCGATTCCCTCCGGACCATGGCTTGCCTATTATCCACTGGCTGTAAGACAAAAAACAAACTGTGGTTATTCCTGGACATTTTTCAAGGTTCTCTTTCCCTGCCCTTCAAACCCCCAGAACTAAGATACACTGATTTGTGCTGGGGTTGCATAGTAAGATTGCATTGCCCAATTCTTGTATTTCCTGGGTTCACCAGGGGCTCAGAGTGTGAGTTTGATGGTGAAGCAATCCAGTTTCAAATTTGTCAGCTGTGAAGGTGATATGTCCTTGCTCCTCTGGCTGATCTATTATTACCGTACTGGAAGAAAACACAGACAGAGCCTCCCTGCTCCAGGCTCCACTGGGGCTGGCAAAATCCCAGCTGCTCCTGAGGGATGGGGAGGATAGCAGAGTGAGATTTCAGCATCATAGTGTGGGCAAGGGTCAGTTGACAGGATTTGCATAATGCCACAAGATCTATAGTATGGTCAGGAAAGAAAAACATGACCAATGGCAGAGGGAGCATACTCAAATAGGTGTGTTGTCTCTCAGTATTCAAATGTAATGGGAACCTGGGCACCATCTGAAGGGAGCAGGATGGAGCTCAAGCCTATGGTATTTTGGCTATCTTTAAAAATACTTTGCTCCAAGTCAAAGTAGCAGATTTGGAACCAATCTTGGCTCTGCTCCATAGCATGAACTTGAGCTTCTCTAGGCCTCAGTTTTCTCATCTGTCAAAAGGAATATTGTACTAGCAGGCCTCTGAGGCCCTTTGCAGCTCTAAATCTATAGTCCCATGATGCTTTAAATCTCATCACGTCCTCCAGGCCCGACTATTCCAGGATGTACGGTATACTCATCTGTACAGTGAGGAGGTTAGTCTAGACCGGGGATCCTTGACCATTTTTGTGTGTCATTTACCCTAACTTTGGCAGTCTGGGGAAGCCTCTGATCCCCTTCTCAGAATAATAGGTTTAAATTCATGAAATAAAATGCATAGGATTACAAAGGAAACCAATTATATTGAGGTAAAAATGTATTTTTCATCCAAGTTTAAGTACCTCCGGAAATCTGTCTACCAGTATCTTAGAGGTCTATCAAGACCAAGTTAAGAACCCTTGGTCTAGGTAATTTTTAAAGCCCCTTAAAATCTCAACTCTATGATGTCATAAACTATGCTAGCCTGCAACTCAGTTCAACACAATATATTATTCCATGTGGCTTTCTGCTTATTTCGTAGGGATAAATCTTATCTCTCTTTCTAGTCTACAAGCCCCTTAAGGTCAGAGACTATTGTTTCTCTCGTTTCTCTTCTTTCCTCCTCCCACTCCCCTTCATCCCAGCATAGAACTGGGTACACAGTAGGGAAACAATCAGAATGATAGATTGGCATCATTTAGCAGAAGGTCCCTGCCATGTATCCCTGAAGAGTCCTTTCTTTGGGGAGGCCCTTGATGCTGTGGACAATCTGGCTAGTGGGCCGACTGTAATGAAAACGTACAACTCTGAGGCTTCCCCAACTGTGCCTTATAGGTCACAGTCACCTTCTCAGGGAGCCCCCACAGTTGGCTGATATTTAAGAGTTTCTCTAACACAAGGCTTCACTGGGAAGTGGGGGAGTGGACAGGAAAGAAGTGTAAGTGTTGCTTTCTTTTGGAGGGCCAATAAGAGGGGGGTGGTGGGAAAACATCATGGCACAAATTTGGGGTCAGAGGATCTGAATTAAAATCCTGGTTCTGCTACTTCATACCTCGGTCTTAACTTTTCTGGGCTTCAATTCTTCATTTGTCAAGCGAGGAGGCTGGTCTAAGTGACCTCTAAGGTCCCTTCCAGAATACAATAGAATATAATTTACATCCATGACCCTATGAGAATGTGGGCTCCTTGACGGCAGGGTCTGTCTTTGCACTCCCAGCACTTGAAAGCCTCTTCACTCTTTTCAGTTGTGCCCGACTCGCTGTGACCCCATTTAGGTTGGTTTGTTTGTTTTTTGGCAAAGATACTAGAGTGGTTTGCCATTTTCTTCTCCAATTCATTTTACAGATGAGGAAACTGAGGTAAACAGGGTTAAGTGACTTGCCCAGGGTCACACATCTAGTAAGTGTCTGAGGTCAGATTTGAACTCAGGAAAATGAGTCTTCCTAATGTCAGGCCTGACACTCTATCCACTGAGCCACCTATGTGAGCAGTGCGCTGCATAAATTAAGTGCTTAATAAATGTTTTTTCATTCATTCATTCATCCATCCATCCATCCTATGACCCTAGATTTTCCTTTATAGAGACACTGAAGAGAACAGGGGAGAATTTCTGAAGTTCACCCCTCTATGTTGTGGTTAACTGAAAAAGCTGAACAGAGATACAAAAGCATGAATATCTCCAGGAAAAAATAATAGTAATGATAATAATAACAACAATGACTCATGTTTCTATCGTGCCTTAGTGTTCATAATCAGTCAATAAGCATTTATTAAGCACCTACTACGTGCCATGTGGGGGTGCAGCTGGGTGGCTCAGTTTATAGAGCAATAGGCCTGGAGTCAGTAACACTCATCTTTGTGAGTTCAAATCACTTTGTGAGTGACACTTACACTAGCTGTGTGACCCTGGACAAGTCGCTTAACCCCGTTTGTATCAGTTCCTCATCTGTAAAATGAACAGGAAAAGGAAATGGCAAAGCACTCCAGTATCTTGGCAAGAAAACCCCAAATGGGGGTTAAAAAGTCAGACATCAGCGAGGTGGCACAGTGGATAGAACTCCAGCCTTGGAGTCAGGAGGACCTGAGTTCAAATCTGGCTTCAGATACTTGACACTTACTAGCTGTGTGACCCTGGGTAAGTCACTTAACCCCGATTGCCTCACCAAAAAAGAAAAAAAAAATAAGTCAAACATGACGGGAAATGACCAAACAACAAAAAGAGTGTAGTCAACAAGGAGCTGACTTTAGAGTCAGAAAAACCTAGGTTCAAAGCCCTGCCTGACACATATTATCTGTGTGATAATCACCTAACTTTCCAGAGCCCCCAGGGAAACAAGAAAGCAAATTTCAGAGAAATGCCAACCTGAACTGGTCATAACAGCTCGCATTTATATAGCACTTTAAGCTTTCCCAAGTACTTCACAATATTATCTCATTTGATCTTCACAACAACTCTGAGATCTAAGTGCTATTATTGTCCCCATTTTACAGTTAAGGAAACTGAGGCAGACAGGAGGTGATGTGACTTGCACAGGGCCACATGGCTAGTAAGTTTCTGAGGTGGGATTTGAAGTCAGGTGTTCCTGACTCCAGGTCCAATACTATCCACTGGACTACACAGATGCCTACAAGTTCTTCCCCAGGAGCTTTCAGCATTGATGAGATCACAAGTCTGAGCCAATGAGAACAACAACAAAACCTGTAAGTTGGAACATGTCCAGAGGAGAGTAAGTAAAATGGTAAGGGGACGCAAAACTATGCCGTATAAGGATTAGTTGCAGGATACACTTAGACTGGAAAGAAAAAACAAATCAAGATGGGGAGGGGATGGAGAGCGGAGAGAATATAATAGATATTTCCAAGAATTTGAAGAGCTATGATGTAGAAGACGGATGAGATTTGTTTCACCAGATTGCATAATTAGGAATAAGGAGTAGACTTGAAGAGATGTATTTTTAGATTGATATAAGAAAAAAAAAACCTGCCTAATAATTAGTTGTCCAAAAGTGAAATGGGCTGCCTTGACAGGTAGTGAGCTACCGATTCCTGGAAATCTTCAAATTGAAACAATGATCACTCATCATGGATGTAATAAGACATCAATTAGATCAGATGACCTCTGAGCTCCTTTCTAACTCTTAAGATTCCATGATAAAAAATTTAGTGGAGAAAGGGAAATAAAAATCCAAGGAAGACAATGCAATAAACCAAGGAATACTCGGGGAAAGGAAAGACCACAGGAAAGACCTACCTTCCCTATAGGGAAGGCCATGCTCACTATAGTATCCATAACTTACTTCCAGTTCACCCACTCCCACCCAAACCCTTTACATCCTTCAAGGCCCTGCTCATGTCTCACCTCTTCCAGAAAGCCTTGCCCATATGAGGATTACTCCATTTAGTATCACATGATATACTGTCTTACCACTTACAACCAAGTCCAGAGAGGCTGTGACTAGGCCAAGGTCTTACAGGTAACAGCAGCTCAGATACAGTTGTTTCCCATAAAGGAATGTAAGCTTCTTGAGGGCAGGGAATATTTTATTTTCATCTTTCTATGCTCAATAATTAGCCTGGGAGATGAGCATTTCTTAGTCTTTCTTTGTGTTATGGACCCCTTTTGACAGCAGCTCCCTTAAAAAGTCACTGTTGGCTGATTAATTGAAGGAAATCACGCTTATGGTTGGGAATTGTCCACATCTGAAGCTCATTTCTCAGACAAGGAGAGTAAAGGTTTGCGTGGCAGAACCAGGATTAAAAGGTGTGTGCCCACTTTAACAACGACACATCGTGTACATGATGGTTGCTCAAACTCGGACTTCAGGCTCATTGAATCATAGACCTTAGAAATGGAAGGGGCTCCAAGGCTATTTCGTCCAAAACTCACTTTGTGGATGAGGAAACTGAAGCCCAGGGAGGGTGTTCTTTACCTGGTTTCTCTGAATTCTTGCCCAATCACAGTTCATGTCTCCTACATGCCTCTGATCTCATCATCAATGCATCGCCCACCCCAGATACACCTCCTGTCACGGCCCCATTTAGTTTGCATTTTGTGTTTATTATTCCACCAACTGATCTTTTTCGCTCTGTATAACCTACTACCTCCTGCTTCTGATACCTCATCAATTGAGACTTATCTGCCAGGACTTTCCTCCTGTGGCTTGACCAGCCCTACTTACACTGTACCTGTGGGAGCTTAGACAGCATCAATCTAAACCCCTGGTCAGGCCAGGACAAATAAAATCATCTCCTTAAGAACAGGGACTATTTATTCCCCTTTTATTTCCCCCCCCCCTTTTTTTTTCTTTTTTTTTGGCGAGGCAGTTGGAGTTAAGTGACTTGCCCAGGGTCACACAGCTAGTA